GCTCAGCCTCTGGACGTTGCATCGGCATATGACCGACTGGATTTCGCCAACGGTTCCCTCACTTAACCTGAGCAAGACGGGCTCGTGTTTTCTGTCTGTGGCCACTTGGGAGTTGCAGTGCTAGACTGGCTATACGGCTATACTGTTACGAGTCAATTAGGCTATAAAGGCTCCAGCGCCAAGGTCTGAAGTTCCTGCAGCCGCTTCAGCTTGTTGACAGCTTTAGCAGGCCTGTTTCCAAAGCGTCTGACTTTCAGAGGTGATCGCAAGTGGAGTTGATGCTTTCAGGATCTTTCAGGGTTGTCGCGGTCGTGACAGGCCATGTTGAGGCTTGAGTTGCGCAGCCAGGTTGATGACGGAATCCGGTTTGCTGAATCCCGAGGAGTTGAAGAGTGCCAGCCGCTAGGGCTTGAGGCCTGGGCTCGGCAGTTGGTTAGTGAACCCTGCGTCAGCGTGGCAGTGCAAATGTCACCAGCGGCCCGCAAAGATGGAAAGCGGTTCGGGTCCGTTCGGGTTCGGGACCAGGCACGCAAGCCTCGACAAGCCGTGTTATGCCGTCGTAGACTGTACTGGCGGGGTTTTGTCTTATTGTTCTACGCTTGCTTTCGCTTTCCTCGGGCTGCTGGCGACCCAGCGGCGGCCGAAGGCCGTGACGAGTGGCACTCAGAGGCGACAAAACTGGACGTGACACGCACAGGATTGATGTAGGACCAGACGGCGTGGCATTTTGTACGGACGACGGATGGCACTGTTTGGGCAATGTTAGGCTGCTCTAAGCTGCATTGCCGGATGCCGTAAAGAAACACCTGCGACGCATCATCTGGAGCTTGAGCGCGCTGTCAAGTAGGCTTGCAGCTGTCAACACGGAAGTCCTCAAGAACGGCCGTGTGGCAGAAGCACTGCAGAAACCACCGCATCCTCCCCGCTGCCGGGTGCGGTGCATCGTGCTGAGATGAGGTCAGCACGCGACAACTGCTGTAGTGTTGCGTGATGTTGCATGCAGAGCCTCACGGCAACGCTTCGAAGCCATTGAAAGGCTCTGAGAAGAACGAGGGAGCAATGCGTGTCCCCGAATATCTGCCTGCATGCGGCGCTAGCTGTCAAGTCGATACAGCAGATGCGGTTAGAAAGACAAGTCACCCTGCAATCCCCGTGATGCGTTGCTATGGCTGCTATGGATGCCACCATCGTTTTGCTGCCGCGTGAGGCGCCGCAGAGTTCAGCGAAATGTTGAGTTCAGTGAACCGTGAGCCTGGCCCGGGCTGTCCGAAGCCGGCGACTGCGACACGAAAGTCCCCTCCGCACTCCCTAGGACTGCTGGCCTTGGATACTTATTCCTTCCTGTACTCTCCCCTGCAACTCCCCCAAACTATCACCGTCACTGTATGGCAACGCCACCTCGGGTTTGGTCATCTGGGCGATCTTCTCGAGGTTGACGCTTGGCTCTGCTTGTTGCATGATGCGGCAATTCGTACAGCCGTTGCAAGCTAGCCCTGCAACAGTCGAAGTGCAACTGTTCGCAGGACTTGTACAGTCAATTTGCAGGAATTACCATACCATACTGTGCGATCATTTCTGTCGAAGGACAATCCTCCAGCAAGTGCGATGGATCCAACTTAATTGAGAAGGGTAGGGATGCGGCATGACCATGCTTGGAGGCCGCAGCCCCAGCACAGCGTGGTCATGAGCCGGTGTACTTGGAGGCCTCCCTGCTCAGCCACACGAGCTTCGCTAATGTTATAGCCTCTGGAGGCCTCTGGCAGGTTTTTGTTGTTTGTGCCAGGTGCTGCTGGCAGCTGCTCACTGGGCGCATGGCCTCATGTGGCTCGATGGCGATGTTTATCAGGTTCTGTTGATTGCCAGTTGCAGAATTGTAGGGATTGTAGAAGTACTGTAGCTGTAGTGGTGATTTTGATGCAGCAGCAAGGAGAAGGAGGAGGAGTAGGAGGCAGGAGGGGACAGTGGTCGTCGTCGTCGTCGTCGTCGTCGTGGTCGTCGCCATCTTGGTGCAGGTCGATCCGGCGGCGACACCGGTGATATCTAATGATAGCAACCCTAATTCTGCCTTGACAATTGGATACCCCAACTTGCCGAGGCGGGGCTCTCTCATTGCCTGGCCATCCCGGCAAGCTTGCCCTTGCATGTGGACCTCGATGTGGCGGCTTGCCAGATCCCCTTACCTCGCTGGCGTCGGTTTTAGATTTGAGTAGCGGAGTTTGAAGCCAAAACGCCTTAGCAATTTCCTTAGAGGTCTGCCGAGAAGCCTGCATAGAGCTATCACTAGCTATCCGCCAGGGGAGCGGCCGCACGTGCCGAACTCAGGTGGATTCACGCTCGGCGGGTGTTTGTGGGCAGCAATTGGCTTCGAAGATCAGTGCTCTGGAGCCTGCGATCAACCCTTCGTGGATGATCTTTAGTGCCAAAGCGGTTTGGCTGAAAACCTCTCGGATGCATGCTTCAGGCTTGTTGAGGGCACAGGCTAAGGCATGAGAAACAAGCCTTGGACTTTACCCAGGCCGCCAGCTGAGCCTTCGGATCCGCGCCCGGCGACTTGGCGAAGAACGCCTGGTGCCGGCGCTACGGAGGCCGGGATGCTGATACTGAGACTGGCAGCGCGGAGGGCAGTGGACTCTGAGGACTCTCTGACGTTAGGGGATCCGAAGCCGGCCTGGGTAGAACTCTACAAAAACGCTGATGTCTCTTGTCCTGCGGTGCAGTGAATCCTTCAACCGGAACGCGGCTGCACTGCGCATGCTTCGGCCGAGGAGGGCGCTCGAGAGATGGCAATTTGCTGCGCGAGCCGAGGCAGAAAGGAGGGTTTAGGGTTTAGGGTTTTCGGGGAATTGAGGAAGTCCCCAGAGTGTGTGGCCGATATGACCTCCCCGGAATTGCTGAAGGGTCGAAGGACGTTCGAGCTGTCTGTCATGTGGTTCTTGTCCTGTTTCCTCGCCCTCCCCACGTGGCTCACCGTCCCCTTGGGCAGCTAGCCGGGTTGGCACAAATTAGATCGCTGTCCTGGACCTGACCGTGCTTCACCCTCAAGGCCAACTTAAGGACATCAGATGCCGATGTATGGCAGCAGGACTCTGCGTCAATATGCTTGCTGGGGCTGGGCGGTCACATAGACCAAAGCATGCTCGGCGTGACCTCGAAGCCGCATATTCACCTTGGAAGTGCTCTGGTCCTGTCGTAGGCTCTGTGCGGGACGTTATCAAAAAATTCATCACCTCTTCATGCCCTGCTCATCGTCCCTCCACCCTTCGCGCCAACGGAATCTTCCAACGAAGGAATCTAGGCAGGGAAGCCAGCTCTCAACCGCGATGCAAGCACGATGCAATCACCCGTGATTTCTGTCAAGCACGAAAAAAACTCAAGCGCCAGCGGTTCGAGCAGCGATTCAAGCAGGCCAGCGTTCCAGCCCTGCCGATTTCGGCACCAAACCAGATTCACGCACGCGCGGTTCCACCACTCGCCATTGAAGCATTGCGGGCTTCAGGATGTTGGGATTTAGTTAGAGATTGTTATTTCAGGGTTTGTGCGTTTGGGGGTTCGGGCTCCATGTTTTTAGGGTTTCGAGTCTTTAGGGTTTATGCTTTCGGGTTTTCGCTCTCGTGGCTTTCGGATTTCAGGATTTTACCGTGAAGGGTTGTTTCGAGTTTTGGGGGAGGGTGTAGGGGTGTAGCATGCAAAGCAGCACTCCCCGAATAACACTGCCATGACGGACATTCAGGAAACGCGAGTCGCGAAACTCGGGAAACAGAGAAGGTCGAGTCATGAAACGGAAACAGAGGCCGGAGTGTGAAGCAGGCTGCGGCTAGGCGTAATCGGAAGCGGATCCGGCCGGAGTCCAATGAGCAACAACGAAGTTTGCCTAAGGTTTAGGTTTTGAGTTATCATTGGCACCACAGCACTCGCTTCTGTCAGAGTATTGCTTACCACGCAAGGGGGTAACAATCACCCCCTGTGGTTCGGGTTTTTCCGCAACCACTCACGCCCGAACAAAAACCAGAGTGCGGTTTAGGCTGGGCTGCGCGACTCTGCTACCGCATGCGAACCTGGCGAATCCCGACTTCCGGGTGCGAATCCCGGGCGCGCGAATCGTGTCTCCGCGGGGTTAGTGCACGAATCTTTCCTAGCCCGGCAGTGGTTTGGGTGAATCTCCGCGCGCGTGCGAAGCCTTTCCAGTGCTCGATGTGATTTTTTTTGTGCGCGCTTTCCTCTGCAGGCCCAGCGCCGTCGTGCGGCCCCACGACGTGGCCGCCAGCTGTTGGCCACCGTCATCGAAACTCGGCTGCAGGGAATGGGGCGTTCTAGTAGGCTCTTCACACACCAGCTATGACTGAGGGTGGATGGCGACAAGGCACCAGGCTGGCTGCATCAGAAGAAAAAGAGCTCAGAGGCTCTGAAGAGCATTCGCAGTCGACCAGGCTGGAGCAGTGGCTGCGATGCCTTCGCAAAAAGCAGCGGCTCCGGCGCACGAAGGCCGCCGTGAGGTGGTGGAGCTCGCAAGCAGTCCCCGGCTCAGAGCATGGGCAGGGAGCTGCAAGGGGCTTTACGAGGAGTTCGGCAGGCAAGGCAGAGGCAGACTTCAGGTTTTCGGTTCCCCCGGAATCCTGGCCAGAAGCAAGGGTCTATGCCCATTCGCCTCGGATCCTCAGACCTTTCGGTCGAAGGACTTGCTTGCCCGGCGGAGGAGGAGTGTCTGACATGAGCAAGATCCTGTCAAGCTGACCAGGTCCATTCGTAGAGGTGGACATGCGAGAACAATTGCTTCCATTCTGTCTCGTAGCTGGTGTTCCGAGATGACAGGGGTTCTTCAAGCCGCATGTGCATGTCGCTTGAGCTCAGCCGTGGTAGGACCGCGAGTGCCGTGAGAAGTCGCGTTCAAGCTGGGCACCAAGTGCCGGAGGGTTTTTTGAGGCATCTAGCGAACGGCAAGACTCGGTTGGCACAGCTCTGTGGCTTCTCTCCGGGTGATAACCAAGAGATATCAAGAGGGGGCCGTTTTGCCCTTGAGCCCTTGGGCCCGTCCACCGGATGAGGACCTATCCCCCCAACTGATGGAATGCCGGCCAATCCTGGCATCCCAAGTTTGCAGAGCCCTTCGTTTTGGCCCCATGTTTGGCCACGTCCATTGGAGGCGAATCGATGCGAGAAGGCAGGGGTACTGACAGGGATGCATGGTCAGGCGACGGTACACCGGCTTGCGAGTGCGAGGGCTGGGCTTCTTGCGATGCAGCTTCGTGGATTTGAAAAACAGTTTTGGGTTGTCAGGTTCGGGGTTTGGCATGAAGATCTGGCGTTCGACGACCTGGGCCCTTGATGAATGCATGTTGGATCGTTTGAAATCCACTCGTCTAGCTCTCCAACGGGATCTCTTCTCACCCGTTTCCAGTGCTTATCCGTCTGTCTGCTAAGCCGAGTCAGGCCCAAATGAGCTAGAGCAAAGGCAAAGCTTGTGAAGCTGCCAGGTCGTGACTGCCTGGCGACAATACGTTGCCGTGGCGTTGCGTCTGAAAAGGCCTCTTTGTAGCAGTTCTGCGAGAATGATAGGTTTGTGGCTTTGGCAGTCTGGGTTTTTGCCTTGGAGCTTTCCTGGCTGCGCCGAAGTAAGCTGAACGTGGCCGAAGTGTACAGGACTATGCCGTGAGAAGGAATTACTGTCGAGGAATATTCTGCACGGCGCGCTGTCAAGATCTATGAAGCGATGAGGTCTATTTTCAGAACCAACTCCGTTGCTGTCTTTTCAGAGCCGGTTGAAATCGTGAACGGGCCATCATGCCGAGGTAACGTAGTGTTGAGGCCTCGTGCTGTCGGTTTGTGCGGGTTTGGGTTGTGTTCCACAAGTTGTAGCTGATGGATGCTGCTGGATCTTTCCGCATTGGTGAGTGCCTTTCGACTTGCCGCCCGGAAGGCACGTTCAGAAGCGAAATCTGGCGATCCTGGAACAATTTCTACTCCACTGGCGTGAGCTCTGCTCTGCGCAGCTCTGGCGAAGGCCGGCTTGGGAGTGATAGCCTGTCTCGCATCTCGGCTTCTTCGGCTGAGACGCCGGATGCCTCCCCTGCGCCCGAGTTCTTATCATCCCGGCCCGTAAGCTCCGGACGACACGCTACACCCCTTCAGCTCCCATCATCTTCCATCTTTGTCAGGACCCGTCTAGAAGAGCGGCTGATGAAGCGCCGGCTCCGTCCTCTGCTGGGTGCCTGGCAGTGGCACGTCCTCGCCGAGGCGTGCCTAAGGGCGAGGCGCGGGGACGCGGGGCTCTTGGCACACTTTGGAGTATTCAATGGTCCTCAGCTGAGAGGGATGTCCCTGCACGTGATGTTCGCAAGTCACATTGGCATCACCAGCCTCAGGGTCTCCCATCGCAGCCAAGCTCTGGTGCTACAGAGCTTCGGAAGTTGGCTGCGGAGTACGGCACGCGTGCGCCGGTGTCGCCAAATGGAGGCAGCGAAGGTTTGAGAAGGTTTGAGGCGGGGCTTGTCGGCTCGCATGGGCGCACTGAGCCCTTCCATGTTTCAATATTTTTTCCGGGCTATAGTTTGCAGATTCGGGTTTTCACGAAGACTCAGGAGCAGGCGCGGTCGGTAATTTCGCGATCATGCCGCACAGTGAGAGACCACTACGATGCCGTGCTTATCTGAAAGCCTGAGGCGCAGCAGCACCTGAAGGCTGTGCCCGTCCTGCGCGAAACTTGGCGCGCTTGGCACCTCCAGCAGGGACGTGCCTCGGATGTTCTTGCAAGTCTGCAAGGTTGTTTTAACTAGAATTGCTTGCTGTGTGTACATTGTGTCGCATTGGCATTGGGACATTTCGAGCTCAAGGCGGTCATGCTGCCCGCCTCCACTGGCGGCGTGCTTACCTGCAGGTGCAAGTTGAGGCCACACAGTGCAGCCGCTTGTGCAGCATACAAAATATTGAGGACCTGCTTCAGACAGCCTTCCCCGGCCGTATTTTTGGAAATTCATGACTGGCCAGGCGTATGCCAGAATGTAAATCCTGAGCAGGGGATTGAAGACTCTCTGAGTTTTCCACCTAACGCCTTCTATGTGAGTTCCTGGTCGTGCGACTTCCCCCATGAAACCTCCTGTTGCACACTCCAGTCTTGTCCAGCAAGGCGACCTCTGCCCCGTGCGATCAGGTCTGCTCCAACAGCTCGCTTGGAAGTGCTGGCGGGAAAGTGCCGCTATCACCAGGGAGATGCTATCAAAGTTTCGGAGGAGGCAGGCGAGCTTCTGCGCGCCTGTGCTGCGTGCGTGGCGAGGCGTGGGGTTCAGCTGCGGTTGCTTTGATCGGAGCGTGCTGCGTCACTGAGTCGGGCTGAAGTGCAGTATGAAGTGTCCAGGTCAGAGCCGTCATGAGACCCTGGCGGACGCTGGCGAAGATGTGGAGGCTTCAGACTGCCTGGAAGTCTCTGCGAGCACGGCAGAGGCCACAGAGGCCAACAGCACCTTGCGAGATTTCCACCCCCAAACCGGCTGTGAGATCAGTGCTTTCGAGATTTCCACCAGCCTCTCGGAGATCCGGGTGGTTTCTCCCACGGCCAGCGACTCGAAGCACTCGGACAAGGAGGCGAGAGAGCCCGCTTCTCTCGAGCTTGAGATCCTTGAGACCGGGCCAGAGCTCAAGAACCTCCCTCCGGTGCCCCCGTGGCCACCCAAGCACCCCGTGGAGGCCTCAACTCCGCTCCGATCCATCTTGCGTTCTGTGCCTTCGCCGTCGAGATCTCGCTCTGCCTCCTTGGCATCCGATGATTCGAAGCGAGGTACACCGGAAGCAGACAGCTCAAACAGCCTCCGCATCGGCAACTTGGGCGCCGTGCCGCAGTGGCCCTGCGCTGCGATGCAGCAGGCGGCCAAATCTCAGCGACGTGCCAGTCAGACGGAGTCTCGACTGGCAAGAGCTTCTAATTATGATGTTCAAGAGTCTCGTGCTTTGGGACGGCCAAGCCCGAAAACTGCGCCGTTATCCGCAGGGCATTCTCCGCAGATGCGCACTGGTTTTGGCCATGAAGCACTGGCAAGCGCTACTTGCCTGAGCTTGGTTTTCGGGTGCATCGGGTTCTCTAGTGGTCCAGAGGTTCCAGTGTCATGTCGGGATTTGCTGTGGTAGGTTGGAGGCACTTTGTGTAGTTCCGGCTAAGCTTGGGCGAGGCTCGGTGCTACTGCTGTAGATGCTGGGCGTGCGGCAGAGTCTGTGATCGAATCACAACCGAGGTTTCGAAGAGGTTGCCATCAACTTCGCTTGGCTTGGCGGGCAACTAGCCTCCAGCTCATTCCAGCTTAGAGACTGTTGTTGGAACGAATCTGCGTACTACCGGGGCTGTGACTCTGGAGGACCCAAAGCCGAGGACAGGAAAATCCCTGCCCAAACGCATCTTCAAACAAGAACCATATGGGGCCAAGGCCTGGCGGATGGAGCTCCAAGACGGGATAGACGCACGCCCAGGCCGCTGGTCAGTTCACATGCCCCAAAAGCTCCATCTTGTGTGCCAAACCTAGTCACCGCTAGTCCGCAAGTGTTCGTCCGCCATCCTCCCTAAAAGCTGAAAAGGCCGCGCTCTTCACGACGATCGGCTCCTCTGCCGGGCCTTCAACTGCCTCCGCCCACCGAAGCAATCGGCAGAGCTCCGGCGGCAGCTGGCTCTGCAGGCGGCGCTTCTGTGCCTTGACCTGGAAGCGACCTGTCCCTCCGGAGGCTGAAGGGATTGTTGCGAAGACCGTGAACTTGGGCGAGCCTTCCAAGGGGCTTTCGTGTTTGCGGATGGTTGGAGTTGTGTTCTATAGCACCCGGAGCGGAGGCATAAGCAAAACCTCTAGACGTGGAGCCGCGACTGATTCCGCAGCGAGGCTCCAGTCCGTCCTTCGCCGCTGGCGCCAGCGCTGCGAAGACGTCGCCGGCTCAGCATCAGCTGTTGGCTTTGAAACAAAGGGGAGGTTTGCTGGTATGGCGTTGGGAGAGTCGTGCCTTCTCGTGAACCCTCGCCCGCTGGTGCATGTTTCCTGAACCGCCTCGCCGGATCGAAGCTCAAGTCAACTGCGGCATGGGTGCAGTGCAGGTGCAGCGTGCGGGCACAGTTCTCCGGGCCGCGGCTTCGAAGTGGCTCGAAGCGCTGAATGCTACCATCATGTGACTGCCCGAGCTACAGCACATGCCAAGGTGGCGCCTTGGGCTTTGCTGGATCCCATGGTGTGAGCTTGCTCGAGGGGCAGAGAAACTACCTGCAGTCTCATGGGAGATCTCTGCAATTTCGACAGCGGCTGGCCTGCCATTGGGGTCTTGTGAATTCCTTTACTCGCCAGTCTTGTGTAGAGTCTGCGAGGAGATGTGAAGGTGACAGGTCCCTCGCAAGGATTTCTGTGCCTAGATGTGGTTTATCGCGCCTTTCGAGCGCCATCCGCAAGCCAAATCATTATGTCCGTAAGCCTCCGAAGAACGCGCCTAAAGCCTTTATGCCATGTGCTGCCTCCTCGAATGAAGCACAGACTCGACAGCAAGTGCTCAAGCTTGAGAAAGTTTGCGCCCTGGAACATGCCAGTACGATTCGCTGCAGAGACCGGCTTGGAAGTAGGATTCGCTCCAGATGCCGGTTCGGAACAGGTTTGGAACATGTCGAGGAATGGCAATACTTTTAAATGTTATACCGAGATATACCCCGCTCCGTAGGTATTACAACTCGAAAGCTGCCGTTGATTTCCTCAGCCATGACCGTGGACACGCACAATCATTCTGAACAGTTGTGCAAAGACAGTCACAGCGAAAACCTTTCGAAGTGAACACCAACACCTCAACCACGTCAGCCAAAATCGTGCACCTCCTGGTTCCTAACCTTTACATTATTTTGGTAAGCCTCAATCCCTGTGAAGCTGAAAGCACTCGGTGCACCGCAACTCGATCTTTGAAAGGACTCGGGCTCTGCTTTGGAGCGCAGCCGTGCCTCTCAGCGATCCGAGGGTCGCCCGCCTGGGTAAGATCCTGGCAGTTGCAGCAGAAGAGACGGAGGGACAGGAAACACCGCAACACCGAACGCTGTGTGACTGGTAATCTCAGCGAAGCTGATAGTAGTTGTACTTAGCCGTAAGAAGGTCATCAACTACAGACCGCAAACTCCAAAGCATGACAGAAAGAAGCCCAGAAAGCTAAGTCCCGACGCAGTTGTCGATCCCTGCTTCGTATAGTACGAATCTAACTGGCGAAGCAGGGCTTCAAAAAATCATCGGATCTGCTGTCGAAGGCCCTGGGCGCGGGAGCAGCTGCTCGGAGCTTTTCGTGGAGACGCGGATGCGCCAAGTGCCTCCTGTCGACATAACCGTCCCTTCGGAAGACTGGTGGTATGGGGCAGGTATGGGGGAATGACGACATGTCCAAGACGACCTATGCCATGCCACAGAGTGATCTTTCAGCCTACGACTGTTGCCAAGCCGAGGTCCCGCGTAGCCGCAGGGCTGCGGCTGCGTGCCGCCGCAGGGGCGCGGCACTTGGCGCAGCTCCTCCGTGCTTGGAGCCAGGCCTACGCTGGATTGCGCTTTGGACGACAGTGTGTCTTGCAAATTGGGTGCTTTTTGGGCCCTTCTAGGTTTCAGGGCTCGCCGTGCTCCGCAGTCGGCACAGTCTCCGGCAGGTCTTGAGGGCGAAGCGATTCGACATGCGAAAGGCAGCACGCCAGCGGAAGGCCCAATGGGGCAGACTGATGCTGTCTCTGGGAGGGGAGGTTTGGAGAGCTCTTGAAAGCAGGGAGTTTTCTATGTGTAGGGAGCTTTTAAGGATGCAGATCTGAAGGGTTGGTTGGACAATCTGGAGGGCCGTCCGGCCGCCGAGGATGCGCTGCATTCTTTGCTCTGCTGGCAATCCGCCACTCGTTTGTTTCGCCGACTGCGCCGCCTCACATTGGAGCGCAGGCAGGGGGAAGGGCGCAAAAATTGCGGTTGTGAGACGTGGGGCAGGAAGTTGCAAGGACGGTGTGGCAGGGGGGCGGTTCATTGGGTGTAAGAAACTTGTCCGGTTCGCAGCGAAATCAAGTTGCTTTCTCATGGAAGTGGCCACGTGACGGTCTGATGTCTGCAGGTACCTCTTGCTCCAAGGAAGCTTTACCACTTGGTGGCAGCGGCGCGGGTGGCGTTTGGCCGTGAGTCAGCTGTGGCATGCGGCGGAACAGCGTGTCCTAAGGAAGGCTGGGTTCAACTGCCGATGTCGCAGCATCTGCAAAGGTAGCTCAAGCCCTAGGGCGACACTGCGAAGAAGGCATCAGTGCACAGTGGCAAAATCGGTTCTGCAATACTGTGTATCTACTTCTAATATTTCTGAGCGAATCACACACAATCGACGATTCCACATCTTGACTTTCCGGCTGATCCCAACCGTGGGTGGCACATCCGTACTGTCGTGCTTCGTGTGCTTCACGCAGGGGTGATACCACAAGACTTCCCAAGAGAAGCGACTAAGTTTAAGAGTTCACCGCTCGCCTCTCTCACTGGCAGGCGGCATGCTGCTGGCGCCAGCATTTTCTTGCAGGCGTTGTTTGCATCGCATCAGGCTAAGGTTTCCAAGCAAGGAACTGTATCGGCGCTGAGACCTCGGCCCTACTGAGAACTCCAAAGCCTGAAACCGAAAGCCGAGCTGCGCCGAAGGCGATGCCTTTGTATTCTCCAGGACAGCTTCGCCTGAGCGGCTTCCTCGCAGTTGAGAGGAAGGCGGCCGGCTGGAAGGCCTGGTGCCTTGCGGCCCGGTGCCCTGGGGGAATCCAAGGGCTCAAGTGAGCCGGTGTGGTTTCAATGCTATACGGCACAGCTCAAAGCAGAATTCGAATTTGGAGGTTGGGGTCTGATTGTGAAAATCTCCAAAGCACGCTTGAGAGCTTGAAGCCGGCATGAGACGGCAGTGTCCACGATAAGGTTCGCATCTTGCGTGGGCAGCGCCGGGCCAAACGGCTGTTCTTCTTCTGGCCGCTCAACCGAAACTGGACCCGGGGATTGATTGTACAGTTATCTCTGCATCATCTTCGTTTAGTCCCAAGAAGAAGTTTACCTCCGACTGTATCGCTGGCTACTAATACTACATTCCAAGAGCATCTCAGGCGTGCGAAGCTGCAGGCAGCCGGGGCCCAGATGTCATGGCCTTCGTTGCGTTTCCTACGCTGTCATCAGGGGAACATCAGGGGAACAGTGCAGTGTCTGTAAGTCGGGATTTTTTTCCTGGCAGAAGCTATAAGGAAGGCGCCGCAAGACATAGCGGACCAAGTTCTTAAGCCTGTAGATCCGAAGGAGCTATCGGCGAAGCTGTTCAAGTTTTCTAATTTCGCAAATATTTGGCTCGTGTCGAAGTAAAGAAAGGTGCTAACGCGATCTAGGCAAGAAGAGTCAGGGGGCATGCACAACTCAAAACATGTACACAGGTATACTAGCGATATCAAACGATTGTGTGTCGCATCCATGTGCGTGCAAACACGCACGAAACCTGCATGCACGTACACTTATTGACGCTTATGTGCATATCATATATAAGCGCACATACATGCGTTAAACATGCATCGAGAAAGCCAGCACTTGCCGACATGCTCTCCATTGCTTGCACCTGGAAGTTCTCTGGTTTGACACCACCGATGCAATTAATCCAAGGCCCGCCGGTGCAAGTTGCGACGCTGCGTCCGCGTCTGGGTCGGGTGCAGCCGTGGACGCGGCACTCTCGCCAGGCTTGTGTCTTAATGCGGTGATTGCGGTGGTGGCCAAAGGGCCTTGCTTGGATTTTGAGTTACGGGACATGGCATTGTAATGGCTTGCAGGCTTCAGCACTACACAGATTGCCCATGCGAATTTACACGGTAACATCAACAGTGATTAAAGGGTTCTTGATCATTTCTGTCGTACATTCTTCCATGCTTTGTTTCCCAAAATGGCCCGTCGAAAGCGGGTTCGGTCCAGGTCGGCCTTTCGCTCCTGGCGGGCACTCTTCTGTGGAGCCCAGTCTCGCGCTGAGACTTTCGTCGGGTACTTGAGGTCGCCACATCTCGAAGCTTAGGCTTAGGCCCAGGCCTCAGGATGAGAAACGTCGCAGGCAGCGCAGACTGGAGCTCTGCTATGAGGGATGGCGGCAGCATCACCAGGTGCGACGGTAGCCGAAGCATGTTTGGGCACTCTTCATTCGGAGCATTCTGAGGGTACTCAGAAGATCCGCCAACCTTGCCAGGCCTTCAAGCAAGCCAGCACCCTGGCACTCGTCGCCAGGTCTGGGCTGGTGAGGGTAGACATGCTTGTTCTGGGTTTTGCGATAATGCTTTGAAGCTGTGAGACATGCGCATCATGGCATCTTCCCGAATCTCCCCTGTCCCTGCCGACTTGGCAGAGGACGAGGCGCTGCCACGTGGCGTGGAAGGCATGGCGGCGGCTGCTGCGTCTGGAGCAGAGTCGAAAGTACTCCGGGCGCTGTCTAAAGGCCAGCCCGACCTCACCGAGGCCTCCGTGATGCCTGGAACGCAGCTCGAGAGCTGCGTGGGGGCTCCCGCGCGCGCCAGGCTCGTGTCTCTTCTGTAGCACGGGTGATGTGTTGTGCATTCAGACTGCAGATGACTGCAGTCCAGCACGTTGTGAGTGTGGGAAGCCCAAGTCATCATGCTTGGCTTGAGTTCTACGTTGCAGCGATGCGTGATTCAAGAGGATGGCATGGAGGCACACATTCGTGGATGTCGCAAGACTGCCAGGCTTTGGCTTCATGGCACCGTGCGTTGCGGCACCGAGCAATCTGCTGCTGGCCTGCGAAGCTTTGAGCCGTCTTGCCCGACCCGCCGGGCAAGCTCCGACCCAAGGTTGCTTGGAGAAGAAGCAGCTCGGGCATGCTTCTTTGCAACTATGGCGGTGTGCCGCCGGGAGCCTGGTGTCAGCTCTGGCCGAGGGGAGAGGGTACTCGCAGCTTGAAGGTCTTAAGCCTAAAGCGAGTTGAGTATACTTGTGTGAGTACTGTTTCGGGTACGCAGCAGGCACGTTGTAAGTGTAATGCGATGCACAGATTCGGTTCGAAGCCACAGCAAGCTGCCAGGTTTCGAAACTGAGCGGGCTAACTGCAGTTGACATCGCAAGTCGCTTTAGCCAGTCGTCCCTGATAATTCCTGTGCTGGCAGTGTTCCGGGTGAAATTGTTGTGCTGTTGTGCCGCAGAGCGGCCGAGCGACACATTCAAAGTGGAGAGCAGATCCCTGAGCCAGAGCGTAGGTTGATCCCTTTGCATTTGCTGATTTGAATAGCTGAATAGCTTCTGACACTTTATTGCACTGATCTGAAACGGCCCCCTTGTCATGCATTGTCCTTTCCCCCGAGGCCCATGTGGAACATCGAGAACGGGCAATCATGCGCGCAGCTCTGGCGTCCTGGATTGCTGCAGTCAGCAGGGTGGGAGCCTCGTGCCAAGCACTGTCATGTCTTCGTCGTGAATAGAGGCATAGAGCGCAGGACGTTTGATTTCTTGGCTGACAGTTGCGGTTCCAGGTTCGTTGAAGGCTTAAGCAGGAATACATGCCAGGTGCAAACGAGGCGGCTCGGCCTGAGTCTCCGTGCCTGGCGACACTGGGCCTGGTCAAGAAGCAAGCTGAGGCCTTGCACAGGAAGAGATGGAGACGGGAGAAGGTAACCGGTGGAAGGGCACGGAAGTCGTGAAGCGTGCCCTGCATAGCGCCGAAAGCTACAGGGCACACCATCGCGGAAGCGGCGTCCCATTGCTGATCCGAGCAGCAGGTCCCAGCTTCAGCTTTGGAATCTCTTCCGGACGAAGTCGAGGTTGGGCCAGGGGCTTCGGGAGTCGACAAGAAGCTTGGATGATTGGTTTTTGGTGAGGCCGCATGTTCGGGATACCGCAGAACTGTCATGATCTTTAGCTAAGTTGCTATGGTCGAGACTGACGGTATGTGTATCACATGTATTGCGAGTTCTGAAGCGATGAGGCAGCAGCGCCTGTCTCTTCGACTGCGTCGATGGAGCTTCCTCGCGAAGGCTCCAGCACATCTCAGAGCCTGTGCTCCTGAACTCAACTTGCCACTTCGAGGCCGGTGCGTCGGACCGCCAGCACCTCGCATGGGGCCTCGGGAACTCTTCGAGCCTAATTTTCTTGGGGAATCACAAAGTCAAGAGATCTTGACGGCAGTGTGCTGATTGCGAGCCAGTGCGTACAGTTCGTTAGCCTTCATGCATGCCTAGATAGCTGCTGTACCAGCCGATCCTCTCCGCCAAAACAGGCACAGCTGCTGCGCGCCTGGATGCGTGAGTCTGGGCTCCCAGCGGTCTGCGGCTCCAACTCCGGGACGGGACGGAGGGGTCCTCTAGAGGCTCGCGATTTCACGGCCTTCCCAACAATGGCGGGGTCTTTCCTTCAGTGAGCCCGGGCATCGCCCCAAGCCTTCTGGTTGCCTTCCACTGGCTCGATCATTTCTGGTGAGGTGTTCACTCACAGCGGACCTGGTACGGGAGACCGCGCTGCGGCGCTTGCTTCTTGCATGGCGCTGTGTCCAGCACTTAGGTGCTGAATGTATCGTGATAAGACGGCGCAGGCAGTCTGGGAGGACAGCACATCCTTGCAGCCGTGAGCCAACATCGAGCTCTCTTGGGGTAGGAGCCCCGAAGCAGAATGGTCGACGTGATGGCACCGGCAGAGCCGCTTGCCGCCACACTGGCGGCATCGCCCATCGACATGGGACACCAGGTGGGCGAGCTTGGGAAACCCTTTGTTGGTAAATGAGATTTCCAGAAGGGGCAAAACGCACGGGCAAGATCCGATCTCGGCAGGAGATGGCCCAGTTCGTGAATGAGCTCGAAGACATTTTTCAGGCCATTCACGCTGGGATCCGCTGCTCGTCACGCAGCCGGTGCGGCCACTGCCATCACAAGTCTGAAATCGAATTGAACATCGGACTCGGCAGATGTCCTCGTGTTTATTGCTCTCTGACCGCGCCCAATTGAGGCTGACGTTGTGACTCGTGATCTGTGACCAGTTGTCGTGTTGCCTTACCGGCCTACCGGTGGATTCAGGAGAAGACTACGCCGTGGCGTTGTCCGCCATCACCTGCAACCTCTGTGTCAGCTTGGGCTACGAGGACGAGGATGAACTCGAAGAGGTTGGGTCGCCGTGTAAGATCTGCAGTGTAGCAGCAACTCCAGCTGCCTTCTTTGAAGCTTCAGCTCGAACTCAAATCCAGCCTCCAGCCTTGATCATGTGAATCTGGTGTCCTCGGCATAATTGGAGAGTGCGAGTGAGACCGGTGACTGTGGGAGGCGTTGGGTGGCCCCCTCGTGCAATTTCTGGAGGCATTGCTTCTCGACCAGCTTGATCTGAGAACTGAAAGCTGGACGCGTTGGCAAGTGTCAAAGAGATGAAAAACGGATAAGGATAATATGAAAAGGACAACTTGACAAACTGCAAAGTGCCTTGCATGCGCACAGCTAGGCAAATGTGCAGATGCGCCTGGTGAGACATCTCCGATAGCTTTTTGTGTCCTTCTCTCCAACTCCGATTAGCCATTCTTCATATTGATTCATATTGCAACAGTCGAGGCCCCATTTCGAGGTGCAGCGGCCTGACAAGGATGCCGAGGACATTGGGGTCGACATGGAACTCTATTGCTGATTTTGCAAGCTGAATGCCGCACTGGAGCACTAGCAGGGGAGTAGTAGTAGTAGTAGTAGTAGTAGTAGTAGTAGTAGTAGTAGCAATAGTAGTAGTAGTAGTAGTAGTAGTAGTAGTAGTAGTCGTAGTCGTGGTGGTGGTGGTGGTGGTGGTGGTGGTAGTAATAGTAGTAGTAGTAGTAGTAGTAGTAGTAGTAGCAGTAGTAACAATAATGGCAGTAGTAGTAGTAGTAGTAGTAGTAGTAGTAGTAGTAGTAGCGTAGTAGTCTTAGTAGTCTTGGTAGTTTTAGTAGTGTTAGTAGTGTTAGTAGTCTTAGTCGTCTTCGTCGTCGTCGTCGTCGTCGTCGTCGTAGTAGTAGTAGTAGTAGTAGTAGTGGGAGTGGTAGTGGTAGTGGTAGTGGTAGTAGTCGTAGTAGTAGTATCAGTAGTCGTCGTCGCCGTCGTCGTCGTAGGAGTAGGAGTTGGAGTAGTCGTGGTGGTCGGTCGTCGTCGTTGCTGCAGTAGCATTTATAGTGCGAGGACGAGGAGACGAGGATTGGGAGTTTTGCCGCTGCTACGACGATGCCGACGACTACTATTACTACCACAGCCCACAACTCGTCGTGATACAGTTGCATCGTAACAGTCGTAACACGACCATCAATATCCAGAATTCTTTGCAGGATTCAGAGATCCGTGTCCTTATGAGACCGGTGCCAAAGGAGGATGATCTCCGGAGACTTGGCAGGTTTGGTAAGGCCACAGTAGCTAGGATTGTAACAGTTTTGTTTTGCTCCGGTTGCATTCCGGTATCTACAGGGGCCAGGGCTGCTACCGGTGTCGGTCCTTGCACTAGCGTGAGACGAGGGTTAAAGGATGAAGGCTGTCATGACATTTCAAAGCAGCGATTTGCCGTGTGCCTGTGTTCTGTGTTCAAGCCGCCTGCATCGAGGCCAGGCATGGGCCAGTCCCTCACCTTCCCCGTCTCGGAGCGCCTCTTGGGGGCGGTTCCTGGTTCTGGAAGCAGAAGCTGTTGCAAAGGTTCCGTATCCTCTTCGGAAAATGCCTCATGCCTTCCTTTGCCTGGAGATGACTGAAAACACAGACCTGTGGCAATCACAAGCCAAGACAAGCGCCCGGCTTTGAAGTGTCCCAGCAGGTCTTGCCTCGTCCTGCAGGGTCCTTTCATCAACCTATTGAGCCTCCCTTCATGCCCCCAGTTGGGACAAAAACAGCTCCACCTCCTCCTCCTTTCCAGTGCCCCCAGACCCATGCCCGCGAGAGGAGCGCGAAGACCTCTGGCGGGTCGTGCTGCTCGGGCCACGGGCGCAGGCAAGACGGGATCCATTGCAAAATCAGAAACCGGGCCTTGAATCAGAAACTGCTCATCAGTAACCAGCGCGCAACCGGCGCACCAGAAACCAGCTGCAGGGCTCAACAGAGCATCCATGACCCAACCATGATACCATGGTCTGATGCATTCAGCATGAAGCTTCGTGCTCGAACACACAACGGCACCTTGGAAATTGCACGGTTCGATAATGTGAGAGAGTAAGGCCGAACTGCAATCGACTGTAACTTTACGTTTACTTAAGCTTGTACAATCAAATCAATCGTTGAGAGTTTGACCCAATCCGGCCTTTGGGTCCACAATGTTCCTGGCAACCGTTCCCGAATCACGACTTCCGAAGGCTGCGTCTGGTTTCTAATTCAGCCGTTTTGGTTTCCGATTCAGTCGCTCTGGTTTCCGAATCAGTCGGTCTGGCTTCTGATTTCCGATTCAGCCGTTTTAGTTTCCGAATTATAGCTGGTTTCTGTCTCATGGTTGGTTTCTGATTCAGCCGTTCTGGCTACTGATTCAGTCGTTCTGGTTACCGATTTTTCCGTTGACCGGCAAGACGGGGCTGTATCGCAGATCAAATCGCCCCTTAGCAATTTTCGGACTTCTGTTAGGAACAGCATGACGTAGCACCAATGCTTGCAGTAGTGGCATCGTCTACGAGCGTCAACGGTGAGGGTAAGGATCGTCGTGATGGAAAGACTGCTCAGGATAGGACGGAAGGCAGTGCCAACACTACTGTACAGACCCTGGTATTTGTATTGCTACCAGTGGTCAGGATGAATGGTCCTTGAATCTAGGAGCAGCCGGAGTCATGCAGCAGTAAAGCGAGCTCATGAGGCATGGCAAGCAGCACTATACTGTACCACGTTAGGCGCCTACGAACCGTGATAGCAACATCCGGGTCAATACGGACAAGCGGGTTTGTAGCAATCACAATTCCGGCCACAAGTTCAAATCGGGCCGGAGCAATATCTTAATCCATATTGTCTGGAATGCAGTAGCGCACATAATGGGTCAGGAAGACGGAAAATCAACAGGAGCAGGAAAAGTAAGACTGGCACTACAGGCACGACTGTAATCCCTCAGTAGTAAAGCCGGAGACGAATGAGAACAAAGGACTTGAGGTCGGTCCTTCGTTTTTTTTTAAACGGTATGCTGCGTCCCGGCTTAAGTTCCAGGTCCTTCGTGCCGAGTCTTTGTAAGTCTGCGCTGTGGTTGTGTTGACTAACCCCAATCTGTGACGCAGGTGGAGATCCCGGAGATCCAGTTTCTGATCCAGCCAAAGAGCCGGCGAAATGTCGACACAATTTACAACTTGAGCCATGGGTGCAATGCATGTGGAGCACACAATAACGAGACGTCAATAGCGTGTTGGATGCTCGTACTGGCTTCTGCAAGCTAGTCAGCTGTGAAGTGGCCACCCCAAAGGCAAAACCACAGCAAAGGATAGCCGCGGCCGTCTTCAACCTGGGCGATCATGCTTGCTGGCTGATCTTCAGAACAAGTTCGGGATCAACGCTTAACAGCTTCATGCCCTGAGCCCACGACTCGCCTCCCTACCTCTCAGGCTCTAAGGAGTATGGGTTGCAAACCGACAGTCCTACTCCCAGCAGTGGCACTCGTGCAAGCGGGAAGACTCAGAGGTCCAGAAGAATCGCCGCATGGGTGGCGCCATCAGCGAGGAAGAGTTGGCCCGGATCTGCGAGAAGATCGACCAGCTCAACACCCTGTCGCTTGTCTGGGCTATGGGGCTTGGGACCGCAGATATGATTGCATTTGACAGCTGCTTGCCTTAAACGCCTTTCCAGCAACAGACGAGGATAACGAAACGCAGTTGCTAACACAGACGTGGTGATTTTTCAGTACATGCATATTGGTGGCAGAAAAGGCTGGATGTGGAGCAGCCTTTCACCTTCCGTGTGCAAGACAAACAAGGCCTTGGACCGCTCGCGAATTCAGAATCGTAGACATTGCGCTCGAAGCCCGTGGTGCTTGAGAAAGCCACATAGATCCGAGCTATGTAAAGCTTCTAACCAGAAACCAGGAGTTTTGAGGCCCTGTACTTCAAGCTTCACGTTTCCGCTGATCCGGATTCTAAGCAACGAAGCCCGAAGGCTTGTCGGAGTTCAAGCCTGCTCACGGCGTGGTGGTCTTGCCAGTGGCAGACGATGCCCCACCGCTGGGTGAAGACTACGACTAGGGCCTGCTATGGCTGCAGGAAAACTGTACAAAGAAACGAGGACTCACATGACTCGCTTGACTAGCAAGCAATGAAACCGTCACATGACCAGACTCGCGGATACGGCTAGGCCCATGCAGGGTGAGGATGAGTCTGAGCAAATGTACTTAGAAGCTGCCGGAGCTTGGGACACTGCTTGGAATGTTCTTGTGAAGCTACAGCTCGATTCCCAAACTCAGGCGTTTAGCGATAAGCCGCTGCCGGATCTCCACATGGCAAAGCCATGGAGATGCCCAGCGCGTCCCACCGTCGAATCGCAGGAGCTCGAAGCTGCCTGGAAAAGAGCAGACAGGTTCAGACCAAGGGCGTTCTTTCGGCAGACTCTTGGCAACGAACTGCAGCGACGTGCCGTGCCGCCCAGTAGCGAGGTGCCCTGGCGCTCGCGAGCCGCTGGGCGTCTCCTGGCCGCGGCCCTGGCCGGATGGCGCAGCGCCGCTCTGCTCGGCCGTGCCCGGGGCCCCGGCCCCTGCGGAGATTCGTCCGCTCCGCCTCCGTCAGGTCTTGGAGGCTTGGAGGCTTGAAGGAGGAAGTCAAAAGCATGTAAGCAGCTCGGATACGAGATCGCGAAGCTTCAATCTGACGTCACGACGTCTTGGGTTTCTCCTTCCGAAACGATGATCCTAAGTTTTTGATTGCGTGTTAGTTGGCCAGTTGTGTCGCAGCGAGTCGCAACTTGTCATGTCACGATATGTGTGTGGCATGCGCAGACCCCCCTTAACACAAGATCTGTGCACTTCCCCGTGGCGCTGGCTCCAAGAATCAACTTATAAAACATATACAGTCCTGCCGATCCTGGGCGCATTCCTGCACCTGGCACATAGCGCAGCAAGAGCCTGCCATGTTCCAGGACAGTGCTTGGCCGTTTGATGGATTGAGGGTTTTGGGCCGTTTTGGGCCTGGGAACGTGGAGTTTAACACGGAAATCTTCGCGGGGAGAAAGTGAAACACAGCGATTATCAGGTCGAACTCTCTTCTGCAACGATCAGCAGGAGACCCCAATCCAAAATCTGTGAGCAGTACAGAACAAATTGGCACTGAAGCCAACAGGCCAGCTTCGATCACAACATACTTGATCTTTGCAGAGAATGTTGAAAACGGCCACCACGGCCACCAGTCAGGAAGCTTTGGAGCAGCTGATTCTGCAGCTCCCCGGCCAGATTTCCGTGTTGTTCGTGGAGGTGGGTGTTCCGATGCCGAGCAGCACCAAACGCAGCAAGACTGCCCGTGTCCGGTGGTCCTGAGATGTCCGTTGCGGCCGACATGACATGCAAAACTAGGGACTCGGGACCTCATCGCAAGTACCCCGCAACTCAGGTGCCTGAACCCTTATTTGGAGGGCATCAACCTGGGGTCCCTGCACAGAGGCCTTGACGCTCAGGGCTTCGGGCTCCACTGTAGCTGTGGATGTATCGGGTTGTGGCAGACGGTGCAGAGGGGCGCATGATGCACATCTACCGCTTTGAGGTGTTGAGGATGGAAGTCCATCGCTCCAGGTATCTACAACGGCTGCATCGAGCTCCAAGAGCTGAAGGTGAAGCCCGAGGTGCCACGCGGGCAGTCGTCAGCAAAACGTGCATGTGCAGACTTACTCGCTTGCAGCTTGCGCGATGGTATCCATGGTTTAATGAGATGCCTGAAAGCTTTCAGCAATGAAGGTAACTCGGAGTCTTGGGAAGAGACGAGGTTCAGTGTCCATGGGTTTAAGGTTTGAGTGTCCGGTGGGTCGGACAGACAACATCCACATGACGGCATTTCCGTCTGAAAGAAGAACTTGTCTCACAGCGGCGCCTGTTGTCAACTTTGTGGCCAAGAGCTCGAAGCTCTGGGCCGAAGGAATTGAATTCTGTCATGGTCCTGACCCATCGTACGTCCGCATTAGAACATCTCAAGCCTGTGGAGAGGTTCTCGCACTGCTTGGTGTGCCTGGATTCAGCGTACAGCGCGGCTACCTCCAGCTGATCAGGCCTTTCAGTCCTTGCGGGGGCCCAGGAGCAGTCGTCTCACCACTTGGTGCTATGGAAGGCTGCAGATTCCTTGGTCCAGTTTGGCCTCCGGAAAGATTGCGCTGGAGGCACCAAGCCGGAAAGACAGTTTGAGCACACTTTTTGTTGGACCGTTCTGAGCCTGGAGATCAGAAATCAGGACTTCACAGAAGGACTTCAGGGTGCCATTCGCGCATCAGCCGTCAGTTTAGGTGTTTCGATTTTGCTTTTTGGCAGCGAGAGCCCGAATCGTTGTGCACCCTGATAAGATGAGCATGCAAATCCAGAGCGTGCAAGCTTGGAAACGTTTCCATGGGCAGGTCCGAGGCGTCCACGTCGAGGCGGCAACCCAGAATTATTTTGCCGGATGTAGGATCCGGAAGTCGTGCCAGGTCTCAGGTTCTCTTCTGGATGTCCACTGCAGCCTCTGCACCATGCAACTCGTAAGGTGGACCAGATCGCCGATGGGCGCACCAAGGAGGAGCTTATCAAGCAGATGCGCGAGGTTGGGAGTCGAAAATTCGGATTCTACGTTCTAAATGGCACTCGGGTTCCAAGCGCAAGCGTAGGACAACACAAGGAGAAGACTGCAGCCGCTTGAAACTGAGTCTTGGTGTGAGAGCTTCCGCAAAGATGTGCCAGGTGAAACAGCAGGCCATCCAGCTCCGAATGGACCAGGCAGGAGCTGCAGACAGTTCTGCGTTTCATGGGCGGGTTGTACGTGCTTGGACGGACCTCGGCCAGTCGGAATTGCGGACCGGAAACACAAACTACCCACCTTGCGCCGTTACCCGTTAGAAGGCCCCGAGCCCGTTCCTGGGAAGCCAGCAGGTCAAGAATCTGCTGGAGCAGCGGCGAAAAGTGCCTCGGCTGTTGGACGTAGTGACGTAGTGGAAGATGTCTCAGAATCTGCGGTCCATAAGTTTGCTGGAAGCTGAGTCAGAAACTGCATCGACTGATGTAATCCCCGCATGGCGCTGCAAAGTTGCACTCTTTGTAATGCATTCTAGCAGCTTCTAGCAGATGCCGGCAGCAGCAGTTCCAGCCCGTTTTCCGTTGAATCCCCTTCCCTCTACCTCCCTCTGTCGCTCGGGCGTCGCTCGTGCAGACCCGAGGCCGCAGCGGACCTCGCCTCTGCGGACGAGGGCTTCGCAATGAAGTTTGCGCGGAGGCGGAGCTGTGCAGGAGAAGCAAGTGGAAGCGAGCATGCTCTTCAACCCGGGAGGTTCATCAACAACCTCACCGTGTCAATCGAAGATGAAGCTTGGCAGATCTTGGTAGCATCGGAGAAGAGTTGATGTCGCACAAAGGAGCTGAGGACCCTGGGGCTGAAAGTGGCAGAAGGGTTCGACTGGTTGGGTCTGATTTGTGACAAGACGAGCTTGGCCTCGAAGCGTCAGGTCTCCTTCAGCTTCAGCAGCAAGGCCCTGGGCATCGGAGCCAAGCTGGAGAGCGGGGGGGCCGGGGGTTGTGTCCATCAGGCTCCTGCAAAGTCAAGGGCTATGGCCTCAAAATCTAGATCCGTTACGGGGACGCGAGAAAAGCTGCTTGATAGTTCTTGTATCATTCCTGGTCTGTGCCCATCGGACTGAAAACCAGCATCCCCCCCTTCGCCTATGCAGCCTATGCTGTTTCCAGGAGCTGCCCCGCCTGGCAGTGCTCTCCACAGACGAATCCTTCAAGGCTCCGGGAGAAGGTTTGGGAGACTTTGGGGCAGTGGCAGTTGAGGTTCATGTGTCGCGCAGCAATGCTGGCCTCCTGAAGCTCCGCTCTGGGCAGGAGCCGGTCAAGGGCGAGACCGTCACCATCGCTCTTTGGCTCCAACCTCCCTCCACAACAGAACAAGAAAGAAAGGGTTTCCTCCAAAATCTGCGGTTCACCCAACCCGGATTCGCCGTCTTCTGATGCACATTGAGACATGCATCTGTACCCATGTTGCATTCTGGGCTCATTGCAGGCAGCATAGGCTGGCAGCGGCGGACCGTGACATTCCTGTCTGGCAGATCTAGTTGTTCGTGCAAAGTTTGCTCTTGCGCTTCAGGCAGACGACTCCATGTACAAAGTTGTGAGGCAGGGACTCACAACGCAATGGATGAGTCAGAGTCGCAGAAACTCGTAACACCTTACTTGTTTTTGGAGCATGACGACTGCATCACACCGCTCAGCTCTCAGCATACATGCAGCATCAACATTTGGGAGGCAAGTGATGGCGGTGTGCGGACATGAATAGCAGGGGGATGCAGATGCAAGGGTAGTGGGCAAGGTTTGCGATCTGTGCTGATTTCCTCAACTTTTTGCAGGATCGAAGGCTTCGCTGCACAACTCTACCAGCCTGGGAATCCCACAGCAGCGACGTACGTGCTGCCGGGGCCTCAGAGCTCAGCTCTGAGAAGTGACAAATGCAGTTCTGTGAGACCGCCTTCCGGCGTCAAGATGTAGTGATAAGATGGCTCCGCATCCACAGGAGCCCGACGGGCGCGAGCCTGAATTTGGCTCACCTTCCGCGGGAGCAGCGCATTTTCCTCGAGCTGGACTTGGGGTTGTCGAAGCCCAGTGAGGCCGGCCCTTCATGCGAAAGCAGCTGGCAGTACATACGATTGACGCGTGCCGGCGGAATCTTAAACATCATGCACAAGCCAGTCCCTGTGCCGGGTTAGCGGGCAACGCCATCATGGCTGATAGGAGGCTGCATGAGTTGAAATCGGAAGCGCCCTCGTAAAGCACGCAAGTCCCTTCTCCTCGGCGAAAGGTGCAGCTGCTTCGCTCGCAGGCTCTCTGATGAAGTTGTCTTGGTATCGGGCTGCCAACCTGTGCATTGCCGTACGAAATACTGGACGCGGATGACTGGCGTGCATGTGTACAGCGGGTGCCTAGCCATCAGCCCTCGTGCGATCCAATGCTTGCAGAGTTTCGGCGCCCCCGGCCTCGGCCTCGGAGTCTCGGAGGTGAAGCAGCTGATGCAGGCAGGAGAGGCACTGGCTGCGGAGGCGCGGGAACCGAACTGGGCTGAGCCGATGTGCGATCGGCTACCCGCTCGGTGCTTCCACCGGCCTTGCCCTTCCCTAAACCCACAGGGCAAAGAGTCATAAGCACACCATGTCGATGGTTGTGGAGTTGGGACTAGGCGGTTTCTTCAATGACGGCTTTGACCTGAAAATGTGGGGGCTGATGACTCTTTGCGTCGGCTTGGTGTTGGTTTGCAATCAGTACGCCTACCAACCGTCTAGGCCGAGCGGCAAGCTGGCAAGCAAGCAATGAAGCAATGAAGCAATGCGCAGGGCATCATGGTTTGGAGATGTCTCGGTTTGTGTACGGCTTGTGGTTTGGTGGGTCGGTGTTGCGGCTTCATGCTCGGCTTCCGTTGAGCCTCGGCTGAGGCAACTGTAAGTTCAGCGGGTGCCTTCATGTCACAGGCGGAGTTAGCAATGATGTTGACAGTGCAGGATGCCAGGCTGAAGGCTCTGCTG